CCCCCACGCCGCGCGGCCCAGGGCCCGGGCACAGGGCGCGGAGGCGACCCCCGGGGCGCGGGTCCGGGCGGCGGGCCAGGCTCCCTACCTGCTTCTGCTCCTCGCTGAGCCTGTTGATTGCATCGTCCACCGGCAACAGCGAGTGGGCCCGCTGGGGAACCAGGCCGGCGAGGGGCTGCAGCGGGGGCCGCAGCCTCCAGCTCGCCACCCGCCGCGCCAGCAGCTGAGCCGCAGTCGCCATCTCTGCTCGCAGCGCCGAGCCCGGGGGCAGCGCTTATGGAGCAGCCTCGCGCGCTCCACCAATCGCGGGCTTCGCCGTTCCCTCATCCCCGCCCCCGCCCAATCGGCCAAGGGGTGGGTCTCCAGCAGCCAATCACACTCCGCCGCCCGCTGAAGGCCGCCCTGCCCTTGGCCGCTGCACGAGCCAATCAGCGGCGACCGCGGGGCGGTGAGTGTGCACGTGACGGGCTGGCCGGCCGGCGTCCTGCCCAGGTTGGGGCTTTCTGAAGCAGAAGGGCAGGGAAAGTGTTTTCCTGCTGAATCGAGCGTGAGGTAGCGTTAAGACGGCAAGCAGAAGGGCGTCCCTGGTGGCGCAAGGGGTTAAGACTTCAGTCTGTGAAGCTGTCCACAGCCTCTGCAGCGCAAGTTCGATCCCCCGGTCTGGCCAGGGAGCTACCCACATGGCGCAGCAGACCTCTCCTCACTCGCCCGCTGCTCCCCTCAGCAGTGTATTTCATCAGTCTGCCTGTTCTGTTCCCCGCTCTGTCTCTGATGAATCCTCTCACCCCCCCCACTCTGGCCTGTACCCCCATTCTTGTATGCATAAATAAATCTTAAAGACAGCAAACAGAAAACTCCAAATACCCAGTCGTGGGAAGAAATTGTTAATGCAAAGCTGGGGTTAATGAAAATCTACCTGGGATAGCAGTGCTTGCTCTGGTGGGCGCTCTGATTCTAATTTAGTAAATCTCACTTTCTGGGAAACCACACAAATTTGCTTCAGCGGGACTCTGTACTTTATTATTATGTAGGTAACAAATTGTTTATTTTTATTGGAGTTTAATAGGTAAGAATTGTTATTGAGTTGCTGTCTTCCGAATTATTTAATGTACAATAAGAACAGCAGGATTTTTTTTTTTTTATGGGGTGGATTGGGAGATTAGGAAAGAGTGGTATTTGACAAGAAAGAGGAGAGTTGATGGAATTCAGCCCCTATCCCCTCCCTCTTTGGGCTCTTTATCTCCTCTGTGGTGGGCCAACGCCCTTGAGCAGGAATGCACCCTGAGTCCAGGGATGGAGCTTCAGAGCCCATATTTCCCATAAATTTCTTGCACCTCTTCTTTATTTTTATCTTCTGTAGAATGAAAGCAATATCACCCACAGCAAGGCTGTTAGGAAGAATAGATTGTATATTTAATGACAACACTTATTGTTCCTTCCTACAATACTCCCCAAAGTCCCAAACACAGTTAAGATAAAAGCCAGGCTATGTAAGCTTGTCCAGATCAAAAGTCTTTCTCCTTCACTTCCCTGCCTCTCATACATGGGTCTGTCCTAGATGAAGATGCCACGGACAGGACAGCCGATGGATGAACTTCTCTGCCATTACCGAAGACTGGGAGTGTAAATGAATTTGCAGTAGGGGTAAGCTGGGGAGAGCCATCTAGAGCACTCTGCCTTTCACTCTCTCAGCCCAAGATTTTATTAAAGATATGAACAAAAGAACAAGAAAATAGCACGCAATTGTGGTTTTGCTTATACAGATAAGTACATTACTGCTGGAGCAAGTTTTCCTGGTTAGTAGGGAATATGCGCGCAGCCAGCACGTCCTCGAACAGGAGTCAATTCTGGGAAAGTTCTGTTTGCAGAACTTCTAACATCCTGGAACTCCATATGCAGAGTAAACAGGTACTCTCCAAAAACTCCTGCTCCCTTTAAGGCAGCAGGCTCCCAACATGAAGAGGAACAGTTTCCCCTCTAAACCCCAAATAGACAGTTCTCCCTCTAGACCCCAAGCAGGATCTTGGCCCTCATGTCACCCTGATTTCAAAGGCTACAGTTCAGCTCAAGGGATAGCATGCCTCTCCCGACACACTCCACACCACCAACCAGCAGCACGGGGGGGAGCTCAACAGTAAGAGCTGAAACTTCAGCTGATGAAACTTCAAAGAGCTACTTACAAGTGTCTTCAGCTGCTGTCAGAATAATGCTCATCTTTGGAGAGGGACAGTAATTTATTGACATGTGTGCTTAAGGTTATTATACTTTATACTTTATTAAGTCTCATTACGTTTTATTAAAAATTGTACTAAAATAGACATAACAGCATTTGCCAAGAGATCTTTTTTTTTTCAATTGGGTCACTTTTTAAAAAAGATTTATTAATGCATACAAGCACTGGGGTACAGGCCAGAAGTGTGGGGGTGAGAGGATTCACCAGAGACAGAGTGGGGAGCAGAACAGGCAGATTGACTGAAATACACTGCTGAGGGGAGCAGCGGGCGAGTCAGGAGAGGTCTGCTGCACCATATGGGTAGCTCCCTGGCCGGGGATCAAACTCGTGCTGCAGTGGCTGCAGATAGCTTTATCGGTTGTATCTTAACCCCTTGCGCCAGCAGGGAGGTCCCAAAAGACCTTTTTTTTTTTTTTTTTTTAGATTTATTTATTTATTTATACAAGCACTAGGTACAGTCAGAAGCGCGGGAGGGTGAGAGAATTCACCAGAGCCAGAGTGGGGAGCAGAGCAGGCAGAAGGACCCAAGTACACTGCTGAGGGGAGCAGCGGGCGGCAGGAGAGGTCTGCACGCCATGTGGGACCCTCCTCCGGTGGCCGGGGAGCAGCCGGGGATCGAATCGGCACTGTAGAGGCTGCGGGCAGCTTCGCAACCCAGCGCTCAACCGCTGCGCCACCGGGGAGGCCCCCAAGAGACCATTTTTAAGTATACAGTTAAGTATATTCACAATGAATTGTTATTCACCAATCCATTTCTAGAACTTTTTCATTATGGCAAACAGAAACTGTTAAACAATAACTTCCCTTTCCTCTTCCTCCTCCCTGCTCCTGGTAACCTCTAATCTTTCGGTCTCTCTGAATTGGCTTATTCTAGGTACCTCAAGTGTTTTTAAGCCAGCTTGTAAGGGGAAAAAGACAGTAAATAGAAGCACTTCCTGAGAAAATGGGTGTGAGTAGGAGACAGGTGGTAGCTGAGTGAGTGAATGCTTTGCGTGAAGATGGTTAAGAGCCTAAACTCAAGGGCCTCCCCGGTGGCGCAGCGGTTGAGTGCTGGGTTGCAAAGCTGCCCGCGGCCTCTGCGGCGCCAGTTTGATCCTCTGCGGCGCCGGTTCGATCCCCGGCTGCTCCCCAGCCACCGGAGGAGGGTCCCACATGGCGCGCAGACCTCTCCTGGCGCCCGCTGCTCCCCTCAGCAGTGTACTTGGGTCCTTCTGCCTGCTCTGCTCCCCACTCTGGCTCTGGTGAATTCTCTCGCCCTCCAGCGCTTCTGACTGTACCCAGTGCATGTATAAACAAAACAAACAAACAAACAAATAAATAAAAACCATGCCTCTATAAAATAAAAGATATTTCTGTTAAGAAAAAAAAAGAGCCTAAACTCAAAATTGAGAAGTTTGGTTGAGAGGGGGTAGTATCCCAAGCTTGCAAAGTCATGGTATTAAAATCAGGGCATTAAGGGGCCTCCCTGGTGGCACAAGGGGTTATGAAGCTGTCCGCAGCCTCTGCAGCATGAGTTTGATCCCCTGCCAGGGAGCTACCCACATAGTGCAGCAGACCTCTGTCTCTCTCGCTGCTCCCCTCTGCAGTGTGTTTCAGTCAGTCTGCCTGTTCTGTCCCCCACTCTGTCTCTGGTGAATCCTCTCAACCCCACACTTCTGGCCTGTATCCCAGCGCTTGCATACATCAATAAAAAAATCCTTAAAAAAAATATCAGGGCAGGGCCTCCCAGGTGGTGCAGTGGTTTCAGCGCTGGGTTACGAAGCTGCCCGCAGCCTCTGCAGCGCTGGTTAGATCCCCGGCCACCAGGTGAGGGTCCCACATGGCACGCAGACCTGCCGCCCGCTGCTCCCCTCAGCAGTGTACTTCATCAGTCTGCCTGCTTTGCTCTCCGCTCTGACTTTGGTGAATTCTCTCACCCTCCTGCACTTCTGACTATACCCAGTGCTTGTATAAATAAATAAATAACTCTTAAAAAAAATCAGGGCATTAAGGAGCGAAAAAGACAAAAGAGCAAGCACTACCGGGCCTCCCTGGTGGCACAAGGGGTTAAGATGCAACCTATCAAGCTGTACACAGCCTCTGCAGCACGAGTTCAATTTCCCTGCCGGCCAGGGAGCAACCCACATGGCTAAGCAGACCTCTGAGTTGCCCATTGCTCCCCTCAGCAGTGTACTTCAATCTGCCTGTTCCATTCCTCACTCTGTCTCTGGTGAATCCTCTCACCCCCCACACCTCTGGCCTGTACCCCAGCTCTTGTATGCATGGATAATCTTAAAAAAAAACCCAACAAAACAAAGAGCACTATCTAGGAGCACGAGGGCAAGATTCATGAAAGGAATCCTTTGCCAAGATAAAGTTTAAAGTGTAATAATCAACATCAGAATTTGCCAGGGATTTAGGGACTGAATGTAACTCTCAGGAACACGAGGGCAAGATTCATGAAAGGAATCCTTTGCCAAGATAAAAGTTTAAAGTGTAATAATCAGGCCTCCCCGGTGGCGCAGTGATTGAGCGCTGGGTTGCAAAGCTGCCCACAGCCTCTGCGGCACCGATTTGATCCCCGGCCACTGGAGGAGGGTCCCACATGGTGGGCAGACCTCTCCTGCCGCCCGCTGCTCCCCTCAGCAGTGTACTTCGGTCCTTCTGCCTGCTCTGCTCCCTGCTCTGGCTCTGGTGAATTCTCTCACCCTCCCGCGCTTCTGACTGTACCCAGTGCGTGTATAAATAAATAAATAAATCTTCAAAAAAAAAAAAAAAAATTCTGTTGGCATTGTTAATGCCAATGCCAGGTTAACTTTTCTAAAATACTAAGGTGGTTGCTCAAAAATCTGTTTCTGTCTGGATCTGTGGTTTCCAGGCTGTAGATCAAGGCACCTTTGAACAGCAAACTCACAAGGATGCCAGGGGGTGTTTTAAATTTGGGGAATCACGATGATCAACTTGACGTTAGACATGTAAACTACTAGCTACAGGTAAGTCAGTTTCAACACTAGATTGTTCAGCTCTTTCAATATCAACCAGAATATGAGAGTAGTGTCCAATTTATTCCAGTGTTTGAGAAGTTGAAAAGTGCCCAACATTCCATTAGTAAATAATTGTAATTTAAAAATGGAAAAAAGGGGGCTTCCCCGAAGGCACAAGTGGTTAAGACTCAGCGCTATGAAGCTATCTGCAGCCACTGCAGCACAAGTTCGATCCCCAGCCACGCACAGCAGACCTCTCCTGTCTTGCCCGCTGCTCCCCTCAGCAGTGTATTTCAGTACATCTGCCTGTTCTGCTCCCCACTTTCTCTGGTGAGTCCCTTCACCCCCTACCCACCGCACCTCTGGTCTACACCCCAGTTCTACACAAAATACCCCAGTTCTACACAAAATAAAATAAAAATCTTTTTGATTTTTAAAGATGTATGCGTTTAAGAGCTGGAGTAGCTACATGGAACTACTAGGTATTTTGGTGTCATAAAATATTGCTGAGACACTGGGAACACTGATCTAGATGACAAAAATCCATACTTCTCAGCTTGATATTCAAGGTTCTTCAAATCTCTGATGTAACTATGTATCATCCATCCCCAGTATTCCCTGGTTCAAATCTTTCTCCAGTACTTGCTTGTTTGACCTTGGGCAAATCAGCTTCTCCAGGTCTATTACTCCAGCTATAAAGGGGAGAATAGTGCTCATCTTGTATGACTGTAGTGAGGATTACACAAGACCATAAACAGCACCTTTCTAGGGTAATGTGTAATGAAGTGTCAGACACAATACCCTCTTTATCTTAAACCCTCTGAAAAAGCCCAACTAGTGTTCATACTCAGTTTCCCAAAACTCATGTGGCTAGCCCTCAACTTTTTTTTTTCCCCCCCAGTCTTTTGCCTAATGATCCCCTCCTTGGGTTTGATTAATTAGCTAGGAGCAGCTCACAACTCAGAGAAACATTTTATTTACTAAATCACAGGTTTAAGATAAAAGGCTATAACTCGAAGAGCCAGATGGAAGAGATGCATAGGGGAAACTGTGGGGAAAGGGGGTGGAGCTTCCACTTTTCTAAGCACACCACTTTCCCCTTCTGTGCGCTTGTCCAATTTTCTAGTGCAATTTTCTAGCGAGGTGGTTCAAATGTTACTCTTTTTTTGATCCCTGGTCTACCTCCTCCATCAAGCCTCCCAACCAAACAAGCCCAGTTAACTGCTATAGTACTAACTATATCACACATCCCAATTGTAAAGCACTGTCATTTGTTACTGAACTTATGTATCACCTGCATATTGTTTCACCAGACTGTACATATCTTTGTGGTTAAGAATGTCATATTATATTAAAGTTCCCTAGAGCATTTAAGGAAGTGCAGGGGCAGATCACTGTTTGCTGAATTTATACAATATATGGATTCAAGTTTCAGATCAGATTAAGCACCCAGAACAGCCCCATGGGTAAAAAAGGCAGCTGGAACAACAGAGGGTAGTGGAACAAGAGAAAAGACAAGAGCTACAGGCTGGAGGTGCAAGGTGCAACCGAGAGGCAAAGGCCCCCCCCCTTAGACCAGGCCGCAAGTGAGACCTGGGAAGGATGCGTGACTTACAGCACTCAGACAGGTGCAGTCCTAGGAGTAGGAACTGGAGAGGCATGACAAGGAGGTGAGGATCCCAAAACAGTTTTCCACTCTCTCCTTCCAAGAAACACTACTTTTTTTTTCCTGGTGGAGAGGTCAGAAATGCCTATAAAAATTTCATTCAGTAAACAATCTTTTAAATGATAAATATCCTGAGACTGGGTAGAAGAAAATACTCAGTTCGCCCAAGGGACAATTATTTAACTGGACTTTACTCTCAAACATTTGGGATATAACTGCATGAAGGTTTGTGTGCGCGAGCAAAGCATTTTAGCCTTCTAAGTTAGGATGGGAGTGCTCCTTGGCTTGATTATGTGGCTCTGGGCAGCCTCAAAAATATTAATGGGAGAGGAGGCTGAAGAAATTGGGAGATGCCGCAAAAATGGGATAGCGAAAGCCTCCTAGTTTGACTAAAAATTAAATAAGACTGTTCTTTAGTAAACCAATGGGGAAGCCTGTTAGGGACTTCAGGTGACTCTGGATTTATGGGGCCAGACCCAGGACTGGCTGTGCAAAGAGCAGGTATATGGCCATGTTTAGGAATATAGGGAGAACACAGGTAGGTAGTCTGGCACCTATGGTTACAAATAGAGCATACCCTGAGAACAGCCAGTGACATAAAACTACTGGACCAAGTCTGGCACCTGCTGCTTCAAAAAGGGAATATCTAAGATTAATGTTTCTGGAAGACAAAGGGGCTAGCCACAGAGCACTTAATGAGTGGAAGAAAAATATTCTGGGTTACATCAGTCTTGAATTTTAACCAGATTAGTTCAATAGTCTTCATGGGCAGATTTAGGTTAAATAGCTATTTTCATTCCTCGACCCAAATAGCTGCAGTCCAAATCGGTACAGAAATACTTTAAAAGTAGCGCTTAATGAAAAAAACCAAGCAGAAGTGATTAAAGCTCCAAGGTATGTTTCAGGTAGGTGTTACTGCCCTCTGTACCTTCGCCCATTTATTAAGCCATGTTAAGTTACTTCTGCTTCATAAATTTAGAATTGAGACGGCGAACCCAACCAGAATGGGACAGAACGTGTTCCAAGTTAGCAGGGGACAGCATGGCGCCTCAGTGAGGTCTCCTATGGAGAACCCACGTGCCACTGTACAATTTAGGTTTTCTCACTGCACACCCGCATGTGATCCTTTGGCTCGTGTTTGTGGCTGGTTTCATCTCCAGGTTCCAATGGTGTGCCGCTTTGTTACCTCAGAGGTCGCTCCAAGCTTCCAGGTGCCCCTCTTGTAAGCCTTAGTTATCCGCATGTGAAGTTCAGGAGAGCTGACCAATCTGAAGACTGGAAATACTTGCTTCAAGGAGGAACTGCCATCCCAGCATAAACTGTCCATCTAATGAAGAAACTACTGTCATTCTGGGGATGGTGAGTCCCAGAAGATCATGCCAAGAAGCAGATGTCCTAAGTGGCTTCCTCTGAGAGTTTACCCCCAAGAGGAGCCATCTAGCCACTTGCTTTTTATCACATTTCTAATAGCTGCTCCATTTCTTCAAGGGCTGTTGTAAAATCATTCACTTGACTGTTGCATAATGTCTGCTGTTCTAGGAACCGCACCCTCTCCTCTTCTTTCACCTTCAACTTTACTTTTAAGGCCTGCAGTGAAAGAAAAAAAAAGAACAAACCCCACACAACCTTAACTCCGAGGAAAGACTACCCCAGAGCAGCACATTATGCTTCTGACTCTACTGGAATCCTGACATTGCATTTTTCTATCTTAGGTTTGTTTAACTATGCTGGTTTTAGGAATTGTTTCTCTCTACTACATATTCCAGTTTCTAAGCTGAAAGAATGAATCCTCTAAGATTCAGCGCAATTCCATGAGTCATCCATGCAATCCAGATGCAGTCCAAAACCAGGAATCTGAGTCTCCTACTACAGATCACCTTGAAATAGCAAGTTTTGTTTGGTTTTGTTTTAAATATACAAGAATTGGGGTAGAGACCAGAGGTGTGGGAGGGTGAGAGCATTCACCAGAGACAGAGAGGACAGCAGAACTGGCAGATGGGAGGGACTGCTGAGGGGAGCAGTGGATGAGACAGGAGAGGTCTGCCGTGCCATGTGGGTATCTCCCTGGCTGGCCGGGAATTGAACCCGCACTGCAAAGGCTGTGGACAGCTTCATAGTGCTGTGCTCAACCCACTATGCCACTGAGGAGGCTCAAAATATCAAGTTTCCTCAGCGTAGATTACACATAGGTTTTGACCCCCTATTTTGAACAACCTGTTGTGTTGCCACATGCCCTGCAAATGTGCCCAGTTCTAAGAGGCTTGAGAACAAAGAAAATCAGCACACAAACTTGGTGAAATCATGGCCTCCCCGGTGGTGCAGCGGTAAAGCGCTGGGTTGCGGAGCTGCCCGCAGCCTCTGCAGCGCTGGTTAGATCCCCGGCCACCAGGTGAGGGTCCCACATGGCACGCAGACCTGCCGCCCGCTGCTCCCCTCAGCAGTGTACTTCATCAGTCTGCCTGCTTTGCTCTCCGCTCTGACTTTGGTGAATTCTCTCACCCTCCTGCACTTCTGACTATACCCAGTGCTTGTATAAATAAATAAATAACTCTTAAAAAAAATCAGGGCATTAAGGAGCGAAAAAGACAAAAGAGCAAGCACTACCGGGCCTCCCTGGTGGCACAAGGGGTTAAGATGCAACCTATCAAGCTGTACACAGCCTCTGCAGCACGAGTTCAATTTCCCTGCCGGCCAGGGAGCAACCCACATGGCTAAGCAGACCTCTACTGAGTTGCCCATTGCTCCCCTCAGCAGTGTACTTCAATCTGCCTGTTCCATTCCTCACTCTGTCTCTGGTGAATCCTCTCACCCCCCACACCTCTGGCCTGTACCCAGTTCTTGTATGCATGGATAAATAAATCTTAAAAAAAAAACCAAAAAAACAAAGAGCACTATCTAGGAACACTATCATGAAAGGAATCCTTTGCCAAGATAAAAGTTTAAAGTGTAATAATCGGGCCTCCCCGGTGGCGCAGTGGTTGAGCGCTGGGTTGCGAAGCTGCCCACAGCCTCTGCGGCGCCGATTTGATCCCCGGCTGCTCCCCGGCCACCAGAGGAGGGTCCCACATGGCGCGCAGACCTCTCCTGCCGCCCGCTGCTCCCCTCAGCAGTGTACTTCGGTCCTTCTGCCTGCTCTGCTCCCGGCTCTGGCTCTGGTGAATTCTCTCACCCTCCTGCACTTCTGACTGTACCCAGTGCTTGTATAAATAAATAAAAAAAACCAAAACAAATGTTTAAAAAAAAAAAACTTGGTGAAATCAAATGAAACTTGGAACTTATTTACTAACAACGCATGAATGTTAGCTTCTTTGTTCTGACAAAAGTACGGTGGTATGTTAGTATTAGACCCAGATATAAAGCCACACAAATATGGACAACTAATCTTTGATAAAGGAGCAAAGAACAATGCAATGTAACAGGACAGTTTATTCAATAAATGGTGCTGGGAAAACTGGACCACCACATGCAAAAGAAAGAAACCAGACTACTACCTCACACCATGCGCAAAAATCAACTCAAAATGGATAAAAGAGGGCCTCCCTGGTGGCACAGGGGGTTAAGACACAGCCTATGAGGCTGTCCACAGCCACTGCAGCAAGAGTTCGATCCCCGGCCAGGGAGCAACCTACATGACACAGCAGACTTCTCCTGACTCACCTGCTGCTCCCCTCAGCAGTATATTTCAGTCAATTTGCCTGTTCTGTTCCCCACTCTGTCTCTGGTGAATCCTCTCACCCTCCCGCGCATCGGGCCTGTACCCCAGTTCTTGCATAAATAAATAAATCTTAAAAAAAAAAAATTTAAAAAAAATACATAAATATGAAAGAGTTCGCAACAAATGCACCTATTATGGTAGGAAATGAGAATCTTCCCTCAGGGTAATGTCTCTCACCTGTAACTCCTCCATCTGCTTTCTGGCTGTTTCATTAAAAAGCTTCAGCTCATCTTGCAAAGTTTCTAACAGCAACTAAGAGGAGAGTACAAAGTGGTAACAAATCTTTACTGAAATGTGAAAGAGTTGATTTAGATGATCACTAATGCCCCCTCCATTCATTCAATCCAGAGAACAGATAACCCCACTTGCACGTGCTCTGTGCTAGACAGGCACTTTGAAACCCCAGCAGCCATAGGAGGGGTGACTAACAGTTTGGGAGAATTGACAAAAGCGTCCATATTTACTGTTAAATGATCCTAAGTCAAGATAATTAATGTTCCAGGGGAAGAGATCATAGAAGCTCAAAAGACTTTAATCCCAATTACCTTCCTACTTCAGGGAAGACTAACAAGCTGAATTTAATTCAGCTGGATCTTTGCATCACATAGTTCTCAGCAAAGGAACAGGGAGAAATTCGGTATAGACTAATCAGAAAGTTCCTCCTACAGGTCCATCCTATTATGTGTTTTAAAGCAGTGTATTTTCAATTCAGACGCACTCATATTTCAAAGCAAAACGTCATCTTCCAAGTAAAATGTTATTTTGAGTATTTATCTGCCACTCCCTTTCACTAGGAACTAGATAACCAAAGGCTGCTTCTTGGGATTTGGGGATTATATGGCAGCGACCCTCCTAGATTTGCAAGTCCATCACTTGGCCCAAGTCCTCACCATAGAGTCCACGTGATCCACGCTGGATTCTCGCTGTGATGCCAGGGTCTCACTGCCTAAAACTGATGGAACAACAAAGCAATTCTAGTAAGGGAGCTGCACCTTAACAAAATCCCCCCACCTCCACCCTACCGTGGACTAGTGTGGGAGTATTTACTAGGGAAACTTCTCTAAGCATCCGGTCCCTAACTTTACTCAAGAGTTTCCACCTTGATGGGGTCACCCACACCTGACCCCCAGATTATATTTTACTTCCTTCCTTTTTAGGTTTGGAAATGATCAAAAATTTATTCTACTTTCTCAACTCAGCAGAAAATGTGTCCAAAGGAGAGGCATAGGCTGAATTTTCTTGTTTCAATTTAAAAAGCTTTTCATGGCCTCCCTGGTGGCATAGGGGTTAAAGTCTCAGCACTATCAAACTATCAGCAGTCACTGCAGCATGAGTTTGATCCCAGACCAGGGAGCTGACCCCATGGCAAAGCAGACCTCTCCTGGCTGGCCCACTGCTCAGCAGTATATTTCAGTCTGCCTGTTCTGTTCCCCACTCTGTCTCTGGTGAATCCGCTCACCAAACCTCTCCTCCACCTCCCCCCACTGGCACACACACACACACACACACACACACCCCTCTGGACTAGACACCAGTTCTTGTATGTGTAAATAAAAAAATAAACCTTAAAAGAAATCATACAAAAAGGTACACGGTAACTATAAAGAATATATCCTAAAATGCTCAGGATAACTAGTAGCATTCGAAGCCAGCATTCCTTAATTCAAAGCAGCCTGGGCCCCTTCCCTGGGCATTCTGAAACTCAATTCAGTCTGAAGCCCTTTTAGGTCTGTATTTGCTTCTTCTATTCTCTTCTTTGCCAGACATTGCTTTCTATGTACAGGGTCAGAACAGGATCACATTTTAACCAGTATGATGATTCTGTTGATTAGCCAGGTTTAGAACCCCTTGAAAAAGTATTATCTCACACTCTCTCCACTTGAGGAAGTTAGATGATTAGAGTTATCTCCCTTGAAAGAATGAAAATATTATTTCTGGTCTACCTGCAAACTTGTACCTGCACCAAATGAATGTCACAAGTGTTCAGGTAAGAAAAATAATTTTCTCTCCATAAATATATGAAATTCTGTCAGTCAGGCAAAGTAAACATCATGAGAACACAGTAGACAAACATCATGAGAAGGGAGTAGTTGCTTGGCAACCCCTGTACAGACTGGCCCAGATGATACCACGCTGGATTTGACATACAGTCCAGAAACTTCCACAAGGGGCATGTACACCACAAAGGCAGCTGCGCACTCTCTCACCTGGGTTGAGGCCCTTGCTCTCCAAAACTGCCAAACAGTTGTCCTGAAACTTCTCTAGCAGCTCCACCTTTTGGGTCAGGTCCTTCAGTTCTCCCTGTTGGGGTGTCATGCACATAGATCAGGCCTGCCCAACTCCCCAGGGGTGATCTTTCCTGCCCTTGCTTTTTGACAGCCTATAGCACAAGCCTGGCATCCTCTCTCTGCCCTCAGGAAATGGGCATCACAAGCTTGCTCCCTCCAGGGGGTCCCTCAGTTTCCACCCGCATGGCAGAGGTCAGCAGATCTCTTACCTGAGTTTCAGTCAACTTCTGGTGCAACTGTTTGTTGACCGCCTCTAAGAGCTGGTTCTTATCCTTGAGATCTTCCTCTGATTTCTGCTTACTCAATGGTTTATAACTGTAATAATTGCACGTGTCACTAGAGGGGTTAAGAGTATGGGCAATGGGACCTCCCTAGTGGCACAGGGGTTAAAGTCTCAGAGCTATCCACAGCCACTGCAGCATGAGTTCAATCCCAGGCCAGGGAGCTGACCCACATGGTGCAGCAGACCTCTCCTGCCTTCCCAGCTGCTCCCCTCAGCAGTGTATTTAGGTCCATCTGCTGTTCTGCTCCCCACTCTGTCTATGGTGAATCCTCTCACCCCTTGCACCTCTGGCCTGTACCCCAGGTCTTGTATGAATAAATACATAAAATAGGAAAAAAAAAGCTCTGTGTGACTCCATTTCCCAAACTCTGTTTTTTTTGTTAAAGATTTATTTATGCTACAGTGGCTGCGGATAGCCTCACAACTTAACCCCTTGTGCCACCAGGGAGGCCCTACACTCAGGGCTTAAATCCTGGCTTCATCACACAGTGAGTAATGTCTTGAGTTGCCCAACCTGAGGCTGATTCCTCATTTCTAGAATTAAGATAATATCTACATCTCATATTATTGGTGTCAAAAGTAAAAGAGAATAATGTACAATTCTTAGCACAGCTACTGAAACATAGTAAATGTTTGGCCTTTATGAAAACAGTAACCATTATCATCACTAATATTAAATCTTCCTGTGGAGTTCTGAGTCCTTTTTGATAGTATTTTACTTTCAGAACTTTTAAAACACACCCAAATAGTAGATTTGGATTTAGAACTATTTCTACAAACTTTTAGCTTTTATTTTTTCTGCCTTCAGCACTACAAAATGTTCAAGCTAACTTCAAATTAAGAAGGGTTCTTCTTCAGCATTTCACTGCTACCACCAGAACATCCATCTCCAACTCACTAACAACATGCAGCCTCTGCTATCCCGAGGCATCATACTCCTGTTGATGAACCATAGCTTGATTCCTGGTCCTGACCCTGACAATCAGTGCTTATCTGGTACTCAAGATGGTGGCATCACTGATGCTTCTTGCCCTGACAGCAGTTCTCAAACCTGGCTGTGTCTCAGCTCTGAAAATTCCATTCAGGTGACACCCAGACTGTAACACGTTAAATAAGTTACATGAGTGATTTTGGTGTACAACCAGGATTGAGATCCACTTTCCTAATGTGGTGACCAAGTTTTATTTACCCTGATGCTCACTTCTTTCTGAGGTTCTTCCTGATGGCATTATCTGCAGCTTTCACCTGCCTAGATAAGCAAAAAAGAAAAAGAAAAAAATCAATCATAGTACTGTTGTTAATGAGGCAGAACAAAGCCTGGTTTCTGAGGAAAGAACAGTTCATCCAATGCAAATAGCACAGGCTTAAGAAGCTCTGAAAGGGGAGTTCCCTGGTGACACAAGGGGTAAAGAGTCATTTATGAAGCTTCTGCAGCCACTGCAGCCCGAGTTCCACTCCCCGTCAGGGAGCTACCCATATGGCGCAGCAGACCTCTCCTGTCTCGCCCACTGTTCCCCTCAGCAGTATATTTCGGTCGGCCTGCCTGTTCTGTTCCCCATTCTGTCTCAGGTGAATCCTCTCATACCCCGCACCTCTGGCCTATACCCCAGTTCTTGTATGTATAAATAAATAAATCTTTTTTTTTTTTTAAAGCAGCTCTGAAGGCTCAGGCACTTTTGTTTCACCCCACACTATTATAATGGGCTCCCTCCCCCCCACCTTAACAACATGACATACCGGGTTCCTGTAGCAACCTCATGTCAACCTTATTTACGTAGGAAATAAGCACTAGGTAGACAGATACCCAAACACGCTACACTGGGCTAGATCCTGTCAGATCAACAAGCTAGGCTAAAACTAACCCCCAACCACAATGACTGACACTTAGGGCTACTGTTTATTTTTTTAAAGATTTTTTTTTTTAATAGAGGCATGTTTTATTTATTTATTTGTTTGTTTGTTTTGTTTATACATGCACTGGGTACAGTCAGAAGTGCGGGAGGGTGAGAGGATTCACCAGAGCCAGAGCCAGAGAGGGGAGCAGAGCAGGCAGAAGGACCGAAGTACACTGCTGAGGGGAGCAGCGGGCGGCAGGAGAGATCTGCGCGCCATGCGGGACCCTCCTCCGGTGACCGGGGAGCAGCCGGGGATTGAACGCGCTGCAGAGGCTGCGGGCAGCTTCGCAACCCAGCGCTCAACCGCTGCGCCACCGGGGAGGCCCAGGGCTACTGTTTAACCTCAGATCTGCCATTTGTATGTTCAGAGCAAGTGGTGAGAGGGGAGAGAGAACACCTCTTATCAGAACCCTTGTTGTGTTTCCTCAGAACTGATAAGAGATTTCTGACCCGTGGCTCAGGGGGCTGTGCTCACCAAAACCCTGCTTTCTTGGTACAGGGCAAAATTCCAGGCAGATGTCCTAATTGGACACCAATTATCTGACTCTCACCCATTCTCTCGTCTTGGTTTGGTGATTTTTGGAACGTCATTCTCTGAATCTCCTGAATGAAGAAGTCTGGAAACACTGGCTTCTTTGGACTTAACAGGTATCAGGCTCTTAGAAGTGGCTCGAGTTTGTGAGTCTATGAAGGAAAACAAGAGGGTGAAACCACAAGCGTTGTGACCCAACATTTGCCAGCCACAATAGAGGTCATAATCCTCTGAATTTTCATTCTGAACAATGTCAATTAAAAAAAATATATTTTATTTATGCATACAAGAACTGGGGTACAGGCCAGAGGTATGGGGGGTGAGAGGATTCACCAGAGACATAGTGGGGAACAAAACAGGTAGACTGACTAAAATACACTGCTGAGGGGAGCAGCGGGAGATGTAGGAGAGGTGTGCTGTGCCATGTGGGTAGCTCCCTGGCCAGCTGGGGATCAAACTCATGCTGCAGAGGCTATTAATTGCTTAATAGCGCTGTCTTTAACCCCTGCCCGACCAGGGAGGCCCAACAATGTCAATTTGTAAGGATTAATTCAGGCAACTTCTAGGCTAATTGGGGGTAGAAACCAAAATTCCTTTAATGTGACAGTATAGTATGTTTGAGAATAGCCAAAGTTCTATGATACATCATCTAACTGTCCAGAGGATTAAATGTCAAAGTGGAGACTGACACACACACACACACACACACAAAAACTAACATTAAGAGGCATTGTGGGGGTTAGCAGGGCAAAATACAGTTGAATCCTTCATTATACGCAAGTGATGGAATTGAGCCATCTTACCAGGATCCAAAGAACCCTGCCTGGTCTCAGGCTATATGCAAGCTGCTTTAGAGGTCTTTTAATTGCTTCTTAGTTGTTTTGACGAGACTGTGTTCCTAACTACTCTAAGGAGACTTCATTGTTCGTTAAGCCTAGTAGAGCATCTGATATGTTAACAGTGGTTCAATACTTTTCTGACTAATTAAACAGAACAAGTTACAAAGTGATATACAGTGAGAAATAAATTACAACTTTGAGTTCTTTTTGTGCATGTTACCAATTCAAAAAAACTAAAAAACAACTAACCCATGTCCCCAAAACAACACACCTGGGAGAAAGCCTAAAAATGTTAAAACTATTGAGATGACATATAACCATCAAACTGGGTTAGGGACAGAAAGCAGAGATGAGAACTTTCAATTTGGCTGAAAGTCAGTCACTCCCCACCGGAGGGGCACTGCTGGTCTCAGGGAATGGCAGCATAAGACCTGGCTGCAGCGCCTCCCTGGTGGCGTGTCTGCAGCCATTTGAGTTTGATCCCCCAGCCAGGAAGGGGCTCCACATGGTGCAGCAAACCTCTTCTGTCTTGTCTGCTGCTCCCCTCAGCAGTGTATTTCAGTACATCTGCCTGCTCTGCTCCCCACTCTGTCTCTGGTGAATCCTCTCACCCTGCCCCTCCCACCAAATCTCTGGCTTGAACTCCAGATCTTATATGCACAAATAAATATATCTTTTTTTTTTTTTAAGATTTATTTATTTATTCATACAGCACTGGGTACAGTCAGAAGTGCAGGAGGGTGAGAGAATTCACCAGAGCCAGAGCGGGGAACAGAACAAACAGACCTACGAAATACACTGCTGAGGGGAGCAGCAGGCGGCAGGAGAGGTCTGTCACGCCATGTGGGACCCTTGCCAATGGCCAGGGATCGAACTGTCGCTGCAGAGGCCGCGGGCAGCTTCGCAGCCCAGGGCTCAACTGCTGCGCCACTAGGGGAGGCCCACAAATAAATATATCTTAAAAAAAAAAAAAAAAAAGACCTGGCTGCAGATCCTCCAGTAATTTGTAAGACCTGTGCTACCAGGAATTCCATTAAGGTGTTCTGAGGCAACTAAGACAAACAGAACAAGCCTTTGGAGAAGAGCCTATTTACCTCACAGATCAATCTTGCTAATACTGACCAACAAGCTGCAGCAGTCACCTGGAAAACGGTCATCCACAGCTGCTTCAAAAATGACTCCTCACGGGCTTCCCCGGTGGCGCAGCGGTTGAGCGCTGGGTTGCGAGGCTGCCCGCAGCCTCTGCAGCGCCGGTTCGATCCCCGGCTGTTCCCCGGCCACCGGAGGAGGGTCCCACATGGCGTGCAGACCTCTCCTGCCGCCCGCTGCTCCCCTCAGCAGTGTACTTCGCTCCTTCTGCCTGCCCTGCTCTGGCTCTGGTGAATTCTCTCACCCTCCCGCGCCTCTGACTGTACCCAGTGCTTGTATAAATAAATAAATAAACCTTTAAAAAAAAAACAAAAACAAAAATGACTCCTCAGGTTCTGATGTATGAAGGTAACTCTGATCCCTATTCTGTGTTATGATCTCTAGGCAACTCAACAACGGCAGACCCTAGGAGATTACGTTCAACTACAAGCCAGTAACACAAAGCAAGATGGCCAAGCAATAAAAAAATTATTTTCTTTTTTTTTTTTTTTAAAAGATTTATTTATTTATTTATACAAGCACTGGGTACAGTCAGAAGCGTGGGAGGGTGAGAGAATTCACCAGAGCCAGAGCGGGGAGCAGAGCAGGCGGCAGGAGAGGTCTGCGAGCCAAGTGAGACCCTCCTCCGGTGGCCGGGGAGCAGCCGGGGATCGAACCGGCACTGCAGAGGCTGCGGGCAACTTCACAACCCAGCGCTCAACCGCTGCGCCACCGGGGAGGCCCTAAAAAAATTATTTTCAATCTTATCTCTTCTCTCAGGGTTCTCAAACACTCTAGGGCTGGGCCAGACCCCTCACTCTTCCCATTTACTGAAAACAGGTACTACACGAGCGACACTGGTTCGCAGATACAAACGCGAACCAGACACTGCGTGAACCCTATTACTGCCCTCTAAATATCCCGGCTTCTCTCTCTTGGGAGTCCCTCCACAGAGCCCAAGCCTAGAAATAAAACGGGCAATTGTTTAAAAAGTTGTTTACATCCTGCAGGGGAGGAGGGAGAGTGAACAGAGGGAGGGAGGGAGAAGCACAGCAGACTGAGGTGTGGTGCACGGGTGCATTGGGGAAGGAAATTCTATGGGGACTCAATCTGAGGGGGTGGCGGGAAGCAAATATTGTTTAAAAAATTTAAAAAAGGATAAATGTTACAATAGAAAATGGGGGGGGGAGTCCCAGTTTAGTGGAAATAACAGCTGGACAATCAGCAATTTGAACTTTTGAATTTAAGTGATGACTGCAGCACGGTTAGGGGTGTGGGTTCGGGGTGCGGGTCACAGGGTCCATCTAAACCTCCCCAAGGGCGCTTCCCCTCACTTCCACCAGAAACCTGGACAGCCTGCCCAAGGGGAGTCAGCAGGTAGGTGGTCAGCGGCGACGAACGCCCTCCCCCCCTTTCCCAGGTCCCCCATATTCGCCCCCGCCCCCCGACCGGCTGCCCGTCTAAGGGCTGAGGCGCGGGCAGCCGAGGGGACGCGGACGGGGTGTGCACCCACCTGCGGGCAGGCCGCCGCCCGGCACACTGGGGGGCTGCAGCGCGCACAGAGTCCTGCCCAGGCCGGCCATGGTGACGGGGCGCACGCCTGGGCCCTGCAAGGTGCGAGGCGGACGTTACTCGGCGTCGGGCCTGGGCGCCCCCGGAGGCGGAGGGCAGCGTGGGGGAACCCTCTATTCCCAGCCCACCACGACCGCTCCCCACACCCAGCCGCGAGCTTCGCCCCGGAGAGCCGAACCCGAGCGCCCGCCGCTCCAGACCGCCGCTCTCGCAGCTCCGGGTCAAACGCTGCTGGGAAGCAACCGCCGCCTCGCCAGCCGGATCTGCCGCCGCGCTTTCAAACCGAAACTTCCGGTGACAGGGCCGGAGGTGGGGCGGGGCGTCCTCTGTGGGAGGCCATGTTGTACGGATAACGCTGAGGCGGGCGCCGTCGCTGGGGACTACCATGCTGTACGGAAGAGCCTAGCAAGGGGTGAGTTTGAGCTTCCCTGCTTAGGGTGAATGAGCCCCGGGTCCGGGTGAGGGCAGGGAGTGGTGCGCTCTTCCCGCCGGGATGGAGCCATGAGCCACCAGTGTCATATTCCGGACTTGGGACGCAAACCTATCATCTTTAGAACACGTGTCACAATCCTCTTTATTTGGTCTGTTAGGAATGTGCGTGATGCCAGCAGCATAGGGTATTTATTTATTTATTTTTAAAGATTTATTTATTTATGCATACAAGAACTGGAGCACAGGCCAGAGGTGTGGGGGGTGAGAGGATTCACCAGAGAGAGTGGGGAACAGAGCAGGCAGACTGATTGAAATGCACTGCTGAGGGGAGCAGCGGGCCGGTCAGGAGAGGTCTACTGTGCCAGGTGGGTAGCTCCCTGAGTGGGGAGGTAGGTGGGGGGTTTGAAATCGAACTTAAGCTGCAGTGGCTGGAGATGGCTAGATAGCTTGATAGCGCTGAGACAACCCCTGCACCACCAGGGAGGCCAAGTAGGTGAAATTTGAAGAGGACAGGTGAACTGAAATACCTGAGGCAGTTACCCCAAGTCTTAACTTTTGTAACAGGTATCTCCATAAAAAGGGGAGGTCCCATATTCCCTCCCCCACACAATGAGGCAGTGGAGCTCTGTGGCCAGGTGAAGCTTTGTTTGGGGGAAATGATGTCCTGAGCTAATCCCATACAGGCTTTGTGGACTCCACCCCCACTCCAGACTAAAGCCATCAAGACATTGGGAAAGACAAATCCCGTCACCACCAAAGGGAAGGTGGCTGGGACCTGAGGGTGGAGTTAAGCAGCCAGGTTAGGTATAAAAACCAAACACGTGGGTCTTGGGCTGGCTCACTATCGCTAGCCTCCTGGCTTCACGGCTCCTGGCTTGCGACCAGCTCTCAGAGTGCCATTTGGGATTCCAGATCGGCGGATCGGGTAGGATGCATTTAAAACTTTGTCTCCCACTTTTCTCCCTGAGCTGTACATTTCCTCATTTCCCCTTCCCTTGTAAATAAACCTTTTATTAACCTTTCACGTGTGCCTGCAGTAGAGCATTGATAAGTCCTTTTAAGCATGCGGGTGAGGACCCACAGTCAGGCACCCCGTTTTGTATTGGGGCTGCCCTGTAACAGCTTGAGACTTGAAAGTGACAGGGAAGGAGAGACAAGTGGAGCAGAGAGACATACCAGGAAAAGGGCTAGCTTGCTTCTCAGCTTTGGAATTTTGCCAGAGACTTGAGGGGCATGGAAGAGACATGTGGAGTCTAGACACATAGAGACACTGGAAAGAGACATGTGGATGAGAGGCCCAAGAGGAGGCTGACGATGGCAGCCATTATCTTGATTTGTACTTAATTTTGCTTCTTTTTGTCTTGACTTGTCTGGCCCCTTTTGCCGCTTCTTGTGCTTTCTTGACAGAAGGTGCCTTAGACTTGTGACAAGCTTTTGTGTCTCAGTGGCTCTCCTTTGGGACAACCCTGTTTGGCTGGGAATTTACCTGTGAGGGAATGGGTTATTTGGGGTTTTTCATTGGGAAACTATCCTTTTCCCCCCCTATATGCACAATCATTCTATTAAAGATTTTTCACAGTAAGTGTATGTTTTGTCTTTATGTGGTGGATCACAGAATCCTTGTAGAAAGTGTAAATTTGGGGATCCTGAGGACCCCCTCAGTCTGCCCGCTAACACTGATAACACTCAGATTTTAGGCAGAGATTCAAAGCTACTCCTAACAAAGAGGGCAGAGTTCTCAAGTGATTAATGCACTCATTTACTTCACTCAATAATTAATTTATTGAGCACTTACTATGTGCCAGGCTATTATTCTAAGTGGGTGGATATTGGGGGAGGGAGTAGGCAGCAGATATCAAACTCCCCTTGGCTCTGCCCTCCTAGAGTTTACAATCTTGGAAACAGTAAACAATCAAGCAAATTTATGATTATATTTCAATTAAATTGGAAAAAGACCCAAATAAATATATCTTTACTAACTGTAGTAAAACAGGAATGAGCTTTTCTCCAAGAAGGGATTGAAAGATGGGAGGAGAGTGGTACAGATAAAGTTGGAGTGAGAAGTCAAAAGGAAGGCTGTGTAGGTCAAAGGTAAAAGATTAGATTTTATTTTAAGAGTAATGGGAAGTGATTGAAGTATAGAGCAGAAGAATTTTATTCAATTTACATTTTTGAAAGTTCAGTTTGGCTACTACATGGAGAATGAATTAATGAGTTGAAGGCAGGGTGTTAAAAAATCACAAATTAAGAAATCTAATTGACTTGATTAAATTCATGAATTGGGTAACATCCTGGTTAGATTCTGCAATTGCTTACACAATTATAGACAGGAAGAGGATGGGAATGATAGTGGCTAGGGAGGGGAAGGAGAGCAGGTAAGACACTAAGTATGGTATAGTAGGAAATCTGCGCATACACATTGTTTATGGCCTGTCTGCTCTAAAAAAATTTTTTTAAAGTAACTTTTTATTCTTTTTTTTTTTAAAGATATAGTTATTTATGCATACAAGAGCTGGGGTGCCAGAGATGGGGGGCCGGGGGTGGGATGGCGGGGGGGTGGTGAGAGGATCCACGGAGACAGAGTGGGGAACAGAACAGGCAGACTGACCGAAACGCACTGCTGAGGGGAGCAGCGGGTGAGACAGGAGAGGTCTGCCACACCATGTGGGTTTCTCCCTGGGTGGATGGGGATCAAACTTGTGCTGCAGAGGCTGCAGTCTGCCTCACAGTGCAGTGCTTAACCCCTTGGCCACCAGGGAGGACCCTGCTCTAAAAAATTTTTAAGCTGGAAAATTAACTCCAGCACGTCTGGGGGAGTGCAGGAGCCAGTGTTATCTGAAGACCAACCCCAGCACATTGGGACCAGCATGAGGCCAGGGGTCCAGGAGCACAATAAAGAATTCTGGGGGCTGGACATCACAGCTCCTGGCAGCACTGAAGGCCTGCTCACGGCTGAAGTGACTATCCTTATTTTCAGCCTTTATTCAACTCACTATAAAAACCCAGGGCCTCCCTAGTGGCACAGCGGTTGAGCGCTGGGTTGCGAAGCTGCCCGCAGCCTCTGCAGCGCTGGTTCGATTCCCGGCTGCTCCCGGCCACTGGAGGAGGGTCCCACATGGTGCGCAGACCCCTCCTGCCGCCCCCTGCTCCCCTCAGCAGTGTGCTTCTGTCCTTCTGCCTGCTCTGCTCCCCGCTCTGGCTCTGGTGAATTCTCTCACCCTCCCACACTTCTGACTGTACCCAGTGCTTGTATAAATAAATAAATAAATAAATAAATAAATAAATAAATAAATAAATCTAAAAAACCCCAAAAAACAAAAAACCCAGCTGGACTGTTAACCCTCCCCATCCCTTCCAGATTGCTGCCCGTCTGATTAAAGTGTACCTTAAAGATTCAATTCCTGTCTCTCCTTTATTGGCATTCAGTGGTGACAAATCGCCCCAACTCCCATCTTTGGGTTACAGGACAAGGTTGGCAAAAGGAAGGATTATTTCAGGTAAAGCCAAACTCCTCAGTGGAGTGAGGGTGTGTTCCGATGCTGTTTTCCTCACTCGAGTTAACTGGGAAATTCCATATTGTTACTGTGGGAGAGGCTAAAGCTGTAACAGGTGATACATCTATGTGGGGTCTCACAGGAAGACTCTATTTTGGGCCTGTTTTTCAAGTTTTAAGAGGCAATAACAAATCTAGAGAGACACTTGGGAGACTACACTAATCATTCAGGTGAGCAGATGATTGTAACTTGGCCATGATGGTGGAGGTGGTGAGTGGAGACAGAGAAGCAGACACATTTTAAAGATTTATTTATGTATACAAGAGCTGGGGTACAGGCCAGATGCATGGGAGGGTGAGAGGACTCACCAGAGACAGAGTGGGGAGCAGAACATGCAGACTGAAGAAATGCACTGCTGAGGGGCGCAGTGGGTGAGACAGGAAAGGTCTGCCGCGCCATGTGGGATTCTTGCGGGCTGGCCAGCTGAGATAGAACCCGCGCTGCAGAGGCTATGGACAGCTTCACAGTGTGGCACTCAACCACCTGCGCCACCAGGGGAGGCCCAGAGAGTGAGATCTTAAGGGTGACTTCCAGGCTTAAGTAAGTGTGTGGACAGAGTCACTGCTTTGTGTTGGGGCAAGATTGAAAGTTCAGTTTTGAATGTAGTAAATGTGGAATGAGAGCGTTGGGAATCAGCCTTTGTGCCCAGAGAAGTATGGATTAAAGAGATCCCCTTGGGAGTCATATTGAATGAGGGCATCTCCGGTGGTCTAGGGTTGTCTCAGCTCTATCACCACTGCACCTGAGTTCCATCCCTGGCCAGAGAGCTGACCCACATATGGCACAGCAGACCTCTCCTGTCTCACCTGCTGCTCCCCTCAGCAGTGTATTTCAGTATATCCGCCTGTTCTGCTCCCCACTCTCTGGTGAATGCTCTCACCCCCTTTCCCCCGGACTTCTGACCTACACCCTCGTCTTCTATGCAAAAAAAAAAAAAAACAAATTTTGAAATCACCCAGGGAAGTACTGTATCAAGAACCTCAAGGCCAAAGATAGGGACAGCAGTGCAGCAGGCTGCGCCTCCCATGCTGTCTCTTGACCTGGTCCAGGCATTGGGGGAGACTCCTGAGAAGTGGGGAGTTCGCCTAAGAGGGAAAGTTGTACTTCCCAGAAGAGGGGAGTTCTTGCACTTCCCAAAGAAGATCTGAACTAGGGAGTCTCCATGGCAAAGCCTGCTAAAGCTCTCCTTTTTGTTCTTGGTTAATGCAAAAGTAGGTTAGTTATTAAATGGCTTGTGAAAACCTAATTCAGACCAGGTGACAATTGGC